ATATATATATATATATATATATATATATATATATATATATATATATACACACATACTTTTTAACTCCTAAAAATCAACAAGAAAAGAAAATGGCAATTAAAACTCTGAAAAAGTACCAGGAACCTCTAACTTGTCACAGGGTGGGGAGCTGGGAGCACGGGAACAGATGTTGGAGACTTTTCACTGTATTACCTTTCAAGGTTTGAATCATATGGATACATTACCTGGTTAAAATTTATTTTTTTAACGTAAAGGGCAAAGCCTCACGGAATAATAAACATGGCTAGCCAATAAACATGAAAAGTGCTCATCCCTACCTTTAATCAAAAGCGCTTATTTAAAAAAACAATTTATAAATTAACTTTAAAATACCGTTTTACATCTACCAGATTGCAAGACACAATCCCAATATTAGTGAAATAGGGGCACTCATGTTTCTGGTAACAATATAAATTGATTACAAATCACTCAGGGACATTATTTGACCATATCTTGAAAAGCAAAATTTATAACCCAGTAATCCCACCACTGATACATATGGTAGAGAAGACTGGCACATGGATGATAAATACAGTTATTACTCAGAGAGGTGAGAAAATGGAATCAACCTAAATGTCTGTCCATAAGGGAACTGTAATATGCAATAGAGACCATATAACAGTTCACCGAATAAACTAGATTTAAATATTTCAACATGGGTAAATCTAGACAACAATGTTCATTCAACATGATGCTATACAAGTCAAAATTAAAACAACATGAAACTATAAATTACTTAGAGACAACAGTAAAAAGTATAAAAACATTCATAGAAATGATAAACACCATGTTCAAGAGAATGTTACTTCTGGGGCGGAAAGGAGTGAAGAGAGAGCTATTAGGAAGAAAAAGAAAGCTTCAGTTGCATCTGTAACATTCTATCTCTATAATAAATGAAAGAAGTAAATAGGATAAAATTACCATTTGCCAGATCTGGATGGTGGGAACATGGGGGTAGGGGTTCCTACACAGGGGCGGGCCCCGCCACCCTGGAGACAGACTGGAACAACCAGCACCGAGACTGCACAGCACAGCATCTTTCAGCAGAGTCCAGAACCAAAACAAAGGAACAAAAGCTCCTGACGGAAAGAGGCCTGGGATTTTTGAAATTGCAGCTCCTCCCTATCATTTTCTGGCCTCAGCAAGTGTTGTGTGGCACCCAGGCAGGTGCTTAAAATGTAAATGTATTAAAGGCGTTCTTGTTTCCACTGAGGCAAGCGTCCTTTAGGATAACTGGCAGTCTGCTATGGGTGGAGCTGAATTAAGTTTGGGCCCATCCTGGCTCCACAGTAACACAGTAAAACCTTGACTAGCCGGAAGCCCTGCAGAGAGAGCTGTCCAAGAGCCATGTTTTCAAGAGTGTGCCCGGTTTCCAAACAGTCTGGGGTAGAGTTCAGTGCACGTGCTCCAGAGTCATTTAGAAGTTCAGACCTCATCCCTGCCAAGTCTTAGCTGAGAGACCTCAGAAAAGTTACCTACCTTGTGTGTGGGGGTGGACTCAGTTTCCTTATCTGTAGTTGAGGGTACCACCACTTATTTTTTGCCTTGTTGAGAGGACTAGTGATATTACCTAAGTGTCAACACTTTTAAAACTTTTAGTCTATCTGACTGGGACATCTTTTAAAAACATGTTACACGCTTCCTTCCCTGCCTTCCTGAACAGTCAAGGGAACATCATTTAACCTTTTCTTGAGGACTCAGGGTCACAATTACCAGCAAAGCATCAATTATCAAAATAATGATCCCCCCAAGGGCCAAGGCGTGCCAAGCCATTCCCCCTAAATAAATGACCCCCGGCTCTTATGCTCGTGCTTGCTTTGCATAGTGTCTTGATCTCTGTCCACTCTCAGTGTCAACTCTCAGTTGCACTGTGGTCATTTTTCCTCTCTATGCTGGTCTCTTTACACTCTCCTTTGCTGCTTCCTTTCAGTTGCGGGCTTGGAAATAGGATGACACAACTCCTATATAAGAGTTAAACAGGGCTTCCCTGGTGGCACAGTGGTTAAGAATCCACCCGTCAAGGCAGGGGACACAGGTTCGGGCCCTGGTCCGGGAAGATCCCACATGCCGCGGAGCAACTAAGCCTGTGCGCCACAGCTACTGAGCCCACGCGCCACAGGTACTGAAGCCCATGCGCCTAGCGCCCATGGAGAAGCCACCACAATGAGAAGCCCGCGCACCACAACGAAGAGTAGCCCCCACTCACCGCAACTAGAGAAAGCCCGCGCTCAGCAACAAAGATCCAAGGCAGTCAAAAATAAATAAATAAAATAAATTTATTTAAAAAAAAAAAAGTTAAACAGGGTCTTAGGGAGCTGGTGTGAAAAAAATGCAGGAACTTGAGTCCTGGCTCATCTGGAGACCTTCTTGGCTCCATGCAGATAAGCAAGGCTACTGGGTGGCCATGTCCTGAATAGGGTAGGAGACGTGTTATGGGATATTATAGGACATATTATGGGATGAACTATATTCTAGACTATAAGCACACCCTACCATCCACTTTGGACACAACATTCATGGGGGCAAACTCTCAGCAGGCCCAGGAGGACTGGTCCCAGTGAGCCCAGGCACCCTTTCACTTGCCCAGGCTGGAGGAATACAGAGCTGCCTGCCCCTGTGCCAGAGCAGCTGACCACAGGTTCAACTTCTTAGAATGTTATACTCTATCCTAGATACTTCCAGGCAGGATTAGAACATTTGTGAAGAGCATGAAAATTTCTCTAATTCCTAAAGGTTCATCACACAGTAGGGTTTTACTTATTCAACAAATATTTATTGAATCCTATTATGCATCAAGCACTGGGGATGTAGCGACGCACAGGACAGAGACCACAAGGATACTGGTTCTCTTTTCCTTTCAATAAACACTTGACATCTATCGGTCCAGAACCTCTGATTTATGTGCACAGACACACACACACACACACACACACACACACACAGTCTTGTGGCCTGGAGAGTAAAGGATATGACTTTTTAAGAGCTTCCAGTACCTGTAGAACCCATCTTCCCTCCCGAGATCCCATTACCATAGTGAAATAGACTTCACTCCTGTAGCATCTCTCCCTCCATTCTCAGCCAAACTCCAGCAACAATCAGAGCAACCCCTAGTACCCTCCAACTCTATCTCCCAAAAGGCTACATGCACAGTTACCATTGTGCCCATCTGTACCTCATTCAGGTCCTGTGGTTGGCCCAGAGTCTGCTCAGCACGAAACAGAATTTGAGAGTCCTTAAAAATCCACTCCTTGAGCTTAAGCCAGGAGGGCTCCCTCCCCAAAGGCCAGCAAGAGAACTTTAGAAAGCCCCATTCTCCCTTGTGGCATTCCCAGATGGCAACAGCCCACCAAGGGCTAGGCTTGACCCCCACCACTGACTTCTTCCTCTAACTCCATGGAACAAAAACTGGAGCAGATGAGATCACCGAGCCCAGACTGCCCTCAGGGTGGGACCCCAGCACAAGCCCATCATGCCCTGTTGATTACACTTTACACTGTTCTCCATGCAATGTGGGAACAAAGATGACTCAGAGTCCCTGCCTTCAGAGAGCTGCTAATCAAAATAAGAACAGAGCAGAGACCCTGTTGACAAAGCCAGCCTTTATCCCAGACAGCCAGCACCCAGAGGGATGCCGGCATCTCTGGATGTACCTCCTCCTTCTGACCACAGGCTCGTTGACCCTACCCAGTTTTCATTCCCCTCTGACTTGAGGTCACCCAACATCATAAAAATGCCTGAGGCTGTTTGGACCTTCCCAACCACTTCCTCTGAAGCCATATTATATCTAGCTTTACCTGGTTTCCAGGCACCGGGAAGCTCCTTCACCACAGGGCCCGCTCGGCTGTCCAGCTCCTGCTGGATGGTGACAGAGCTCTTAGAGGGAGTGGTCTGGCTGATGACCACTCCCCCAGGACCCGCCCTCCACCACCCACCCCTGCTTCCTGAGCCAGGGCCAGGCCCCCAGGAAACCGCTCACCGCAGCTTTTGACCGCAGGCTTTGAGATCAGGTCCCTCCCTTTAAGGGCCCGGTTCCAGCAGAGAGGGGAAGAGACTCCTCAGAATGCCTGGGTGGAAGCAGTGCAGAGCTGAGCAGAGTCCAGCCGGACTCTGAGCATCATAGTGCCTGTCCATTCTGTTACTCTGGTCCATGGTGGACACAAATTCTGGTCCATGGTGGACACTTCTTGAAACCTTTTCTGGGGCTGCCTCTAGGCCTTCATCAGAATCCTCTTGCACCTCTGCAGGCTCTCCTAAAACAGCTCCACCCATCTGCCCAGCTTTCCCCTGCCCCTCCCTCGTTCTCACCATCCCTTTCTCTCCCTCTCTGAGGGTACTTTATCTACAGGATGTTGGGGGAGGGGCAGATAGTCTTCCCAGCTGTGAGACAGAGAAGCCAGGAACGAAGGTGTGATTCACCAGGGCTGCTTGGAAGCAAGGGGAATTCCAGAGCAAGGGAGAAGAATCAGGGCTGCCCCCAGTTCACCCTGTCAGCAGGGGAAGCAGCACACACACCTGGGAGGCCCACATCCTCAACCCCTGAGCATCTAGGATATGGCTGAAAAGCCCCACCAACTAGAAAGTCTGCACTAACTAGGGTTTCGATTTTCACCTGCCTCTAATTCCCCACTTGCCTAATTCTTCAAACGGAAAGCTTTTCATTTAGGAATGCCATTAAATATCTTGGGCTACCCCTGCAGAATTTGGTTGGAGAAATAACAAAATAAAAGATTATCACTTACTGATGACCTCTGTAGGCTCTGCTAAGCCTTTAACACACGTTAGCTCATTGTTCAGTCTCACAAAGCCGTATGTGGTAGGTATGATGACTAACTCCATTTTACTGGTGAGAAACACAGGCTCAAAGGAGTTTAGCACCGCAGGGCTAGTAAGCTGTCAAGCCCTGCAGTGAGTTGCTTCAACTGGGTTACAAGAAAAGAAACCAGAGGGCCTTCCCTGGTGGCGCAGTGGTTGAGAGTCCACCTGCCGATGCAGGGGACACGGGTTCATGCCCTGCTTCGGGAAGATCCCACATGCCGCGGAGCGGCTGGGCCCGTGAGCCATGGCCGCTGAGCCTGCGCGTCCGGAGCCTGTGCTCCGCAACGGGAGAGGCCACAACAGTGAGAGGCCCGCGTACCGCAAAAAAAAAGAAAAGAAAAGAAAAGGAAGGAAACCAGGGATGAAGGGAAACTCCTCCTTCAGGTATTATCAAATAGCCCTTCCTCGGGATGCGCCCCAGGCCACCCCATCTAAAATGCCATCTCACCCCCTCCATGACAATTCACATCCACCCTCCCTATCATGTTGCTCTGCTTATCATTAACTTGCTTTCCACTATCTGTCTTGCTTATTGACAGCTTCCCCCCACCAGAAGCCAGCTCCATGAAGTCAATGACTGTCGTATATTTTGTTCATTGCTGTGTCCTCTGCGTCCAGCATTCATATATAGTAGATGCCAAAAAACCTGCTGAATGAATGAATGAATCCTTTAAAATAGAACTAAGAAGTGTGAGTGTAGGAAGAGAAAGAGCATGACCCATCCATTCAGGGGAGGAAAGATGAGAAAAGATGGTGAGAGAATCTGGCCAGGGGCAAGTTGGGGGCTCCAGCTGGGGCCTACAAGAGGAAATGAAGGTCTGCCAGGTCCCCTGTGGACTCCAGTAAAGCCTTCCTGCTGGCAGGAGTGATTTCCAGCTGCCAGGGCCCCAACCTGAGGGCTTCTGCTGGGGAGGGCGGGCTTGCAACCCTGAAACAAAGGCCTATGGACATGCAGCTGGCCAGAGAGGCAGGACTGAGCAGCGGCCTGGGCCAGAGTGGCAGCCTGGGATGGGGAGAGGGGGGCAAATGAGGAGCTGAAGACAGCCTTCAGAGTGCAGCTGCAAAGGCAGCACCCTCCCAATGCCCAGAGTCCCCTCAACCCTCAACACAACAGGGAATAGCTAGTTGATCTCCTGATTAACCCTCCAAAGTCAGTGCTCAGCCTGGGCTTGTAGCAACCCCCAGACTTGGAACCAGAGCCTTCACAAGGTTCTGAGGAGGAGAGTGGAGGTGAAGGGGCAAGCCATACATCTGGAACACAGCTCCTTTTCCCCTCCTGCCCTGGCCATCCCTCAGGCCATGGCCTTTGGCCACCTCCAGGGTAAACACAGTGACCCTGGGAGAGCTGTGGATTTGGTAAGGCAAATGTTTACCCTGGAGCTATTACAGGCCAGGGGTGTAAACATCCACCATTGGCTCCTGGTATCTACCGTCTCCTTGTGGCACACATGGGACGTATCCAGTAAATTGTAAAGCTCTTGAGGGCCCCTCCTAGCCACAGTGAGCCCTTCATTTTGTATAGGAGTTTATGCAGCACTTTCCACGTATGTGGCTTCCTTTGATCCTTACCACAGCCTCTGTGAAGAAAAGCAGGCAAGTCCCCAACTCTACTCATGTGGAAACTGAGTCAGAAAAAAGTATGTGACTTGCTCAGGTCACGTTGGGAAAAGCATGGATTAGACCACGAGGAAATCTGAGTTCTGGTCCCTGTTTGGCCAACAGGAGCCAGGCTCCAGTCACGTCACATCTCCGGGCTCTGCTGCCTGCATGTGTAAATGGCCTAGGCACATGGGAGGTGCCTTCCAGCCCAGATGACTCTAGAAATCTGATGCCATATACAGTAGAGCCAGGACTAAAGCGGAGGCAAAATCCTGTGCTGGGCTCCCATGCCAGTGCTCTTCCCATTCTCCCCAATGTGCCACTTCTAATAAAACACAGTAGAAAAGCCCAAGGCAGCTCTTAAGCAAACCACTTCCTCTGCTTCTAGGACTTGGTTTACCCCACGCAGACTCCCTGTCCCATCCCCAGAGCAAGACATCCAGGGATCTAAGGGGTTGCCCAGCCTTCTGGGAAGGGAGTGCAGGCAGCAGAGACAGAGGAGTAATAACAGCAGGAGATGAGATGAGGCATCCCAGGCCCACAGGGAAGAGGGTGAACAACAGAGGGAAGGGGTACACCTTTTTTGGGTTCTTACTCCCTAGGTTTTCTGCTGGAAATGGTTAGGGTGAAGTCATTCCCAGCTACGTCACTCAGGATTCCACTCCCAGTCCAGCAAAGGCGAGGCTAGAAAGGCACTTGCCTTAAGGGAGGCCGGCAATGTGCTCAGTGGGGAGCCCTCGGGGCTGTCATTACTGTCCCTCATTATTTCTTTGAGCAAGGTTGGTGTGACTGAGCTGCGTGCAGAGGCAGGGCTGAGGAGACTCTGGGAACCCCCTGTCCAGGGTTCCCTGTAGGACGATGCAATGCGGATCGCCTCCTGGGGGCCCCAAAACAGGAGACAGGCAAGTGACTTCCGAGGGTGAAACTCTTACAGTGGCCGCTATAACACCGCCCCACCCCAGGCCACACCCCTCCAGCCTCCCACCATTACATTTCCCACTCCGTTCTTTCGTTTTAAAAAGCAGCTCCAGAGTAAAAGTAGCTACCTAAAAACGTCTTGAAATTTTCGAGTTTGCACGCCTCCTCCTAGCGTTCCAAACCAAAGGGCTGCGAATAAGGAGAAAATCAACCAAACCGGTTTCGGGAGTGGGTGAGGTCGAGGGAGGCAGTGGCAGGCAGTGGCTTCTGTGCTTTCGGCTCCCCGACACCCCACTGCTGGCACCCACTCTAATCCCTCCAGGACGCGTGAGATTCCCAGAGCGAGTACTGTGTGACACCAACCCGGAACAGGCTGCTGGCGCCTTTGGGCTCCCGGGACCAGAGGCTCGGGTCCTTCCCCAGAAGAGTCCACCCCTCCCGGGCCCACAGTCCGAGGCAAGGACCAGCCCTCGGGCAAAAGAGCGCGCAGTGGGCGCGGGTGGGCGCCGCCTCGAGGGCTTCCCGGGTTTCAAACTGCGCCTCTTGGGAGTCACGGGGCGCATTCGCTCCTTTCGTTTCCGGGGTGGGGGCTAAAGGACAGAAAAATGTCTCCTTGCACGAGCCTCCCGCGCTCCAGCCCTCGGCCTGGAGGGTCGCCCTGGGAGGAGCCCACGCGGCCCCGGGTCCCTCTCTGCCGCGCCGAGTCCTCACCCCGCAGGGGGCTGGGGCGGGTGCCCGGGAGGGCGAGAGCTTCAAACCACTCCGGGCACTGCCGCTCGGCCCGCTGCGCCCGCAGAGGACGCGGGGAGAACCGACGAACACTCACCGAGCAGCGGCCGCCCGGCTGGATCCAGAACGCACGGCGCGCGAAGCCACCCAGGTGCCGCCGCAACGCGGGCGCGAGTTTGAATGTCGCTCCGGGAAGGGGCCGAGGCTGCCGGCCGCTCCCGCCCACGGCCAGCCCCTTGGCGGCCGGGGCGCGGCCAGCTGCTAGCGCGGCCCCCGGGGACCCTAGCCCGCGCGCGCCTTCCAGCGCCCGGCAGGAAGTCGGGGCCGAGCAGAGCGGCAGCAGCCGCGGGAGGGGACAGGGAGGGCGGACCAGGAATTTTTCCAGTGGGTGGAGACTCGGGCCAGCGACTGGAATCCCGCGATTGGCGGCTCGGCGGGGGACTGGGGCAACCTCGCGGCGCTGCGAGCTGGAACCCGGGGTAAAGGCTGCGGCGGCGGGAGGGGGGCTTGCGCGCCGCTAATGATTAACGCCCGCGGGTGGGGCGAGCGCGCGGCCCCGGCGGTGTCCTCCCGGCCGAACGCTAGCCGCCCCCGAGCAACCTAGATGCGCTAAGACACAAAGACGCACGGGGTGGGGGTGGGGGGAAACACACAGTGGTGTCACAGACCTGATATCACTGCCTCCCAAGAGGTCACCGGACGGCCAAAACAGCCCCCTTTGTACGGACAGGAAAGGGGGCTTCCAAGTGAGTCCTTAGTTGGGATCGGACTTGGGAGTCCTGATCCTACCAGAGCAGGTCACCTCGGCTTTTCTGAGCCAGAAACTCACGTCTTGAATTCCTCACCGAAATTCGGTTCCCGTGACCCTTTACAGATATAAATCCAAACCTCCGAGAAGCTGACAAGAAAGAGATGAAGAAGCCGATAACTTGGAGGGAGTCCACCACGAGACTGTTAGGTGGGAGAAGCAAGAGGCAGAAGCCCGTGTAAATAAAGGACCCATTTTGGTAAAACGAAGAGAACCTGTCTCCTGTTTTTATGTCTGTCTGTAATCACGTGGGCATCGAAAGGTGCACACCTGGAAAGTGAGGGGCTGAGGACGCGACAGGGACACTCAATAAGGATCGGCTGCGTTTTGAGCAAGAGCATAAACTTTAAAACCCGAAGTAATTCATCAATAAATGTACTGAAAAAAAGATGCTGTCCCAGCACAGGACAGGGGAAGAGAAGCCCAGGATGGGAGGAGGGATGGGACACTGACATCAGAACCGCTGGGTATACTTGACATCCAGTAGAGGTAAGTGTGTCTAGTAAACGCCTAATATTCACGTTAAAAAACAAAATAAGCAAAAAAAAAAAAAAAAAAAA